ATCTATATTATCTATCTATATATTATATATAATATATAGATAGTAAATACAGATATATATTATATATATTCTGAGATGGCGTCTCTGTCACCCAGGCTGGAGTGCAGTGGCATGATCTCAGCTTACGATAACCTCCATCTCTTGGGTTCAAGTGATTCTCCTGCCTCAGCCTCCCAAGTTGCTGGGATTACAGGCATGTACCACCATGCCTAGCTAATTTTTTTTTTTTGCATTTTTAATAGAGATGGGGTTTCACCATGTTGGCCAGACTGGTCTCGAACTCCTGACCTCGGGTCATCCAGCCGCCTGGCCTCCCAAAGTGCTAGGGCTACAGGTGTGAACCACCATGCCTGGCCTGATGTGTGATTTCTGTTAAGTGTCCTTGGTATTCCCTGCTGATGTAGGTCAGCTCATTAAAGGTCCCCACACCCCTGCAGGCTGAGCAGCTTTAGGGGGCCCTCAGCTGAGGCTGGAGGTAGGAAAAAGCTGTCAGGAATGAGAAAGGGGCAGTCTATGACGCCTTCTCACTTTCCAGAAGGTGTTTCTTCAGCCAGACCACATGGTTTCTATATGGCACAAGGGCACAATGAGGGGCCAGGCCAGGAGAGCAGCCACATGCTGGGCCAGGCACCCCTGCCAGAGAAGGGGCAGTACAGTCCCAGTGACCCTCATCACCCCCGTCCACACCCTAGCTCTGCTGACTCTCGGTTCCCCCAAACATCCAGCATCCCCGCTGCCTCTGTAGTCAGGAGACACTGTCATCCAAAACAGGAAGGCCAAGGGCCCACCCCAGGCAGAAGCCAATCCAAAGTTCTGCTCTCATTTTAGTGCATCCCCCTGCCGGTGTTGTACGGAGTCTTCCTCTACATGGGCGTGGCCTCCCTGAATGGCATCCAGGTAAGGCTTTCCCTCCCCAGTCTGCATACCTGGAGTCAGCATTCCATGTCTGGTTCCATGTCACCAAGACTCCCCAATTCAGTTGTCCCCATTGTCCCCAATTATCCTAATTCAATGAAAGAACAATAGTAATGATACTGTCACTTACTGATACTACCAGGCAAAATAACTATGCTAGGCACTTCATCGGCCTTATATAATTTAATCTATGTAATTAGGTTATCTGATCCCCATTTTACAGTTGGGGATGGGAGGGTCAGAATTCAAAATCCAGAAGGAGCTGACTCCAGTGAGCATTTCACTGTACCTCTCTCTCTTCCCTAAGGCAACTACACAGAAGAAAACATTTTTGTTTTGTTCTGTATTTACCATGAAGTCCCAGAATTCTTAAACAGTTTGTGTTACAATTAACTTGCACTTTCCTTGAATATGGACAGTGTTCATCTCACCCAGGGCTCAGGATCCTTTCTCTAAGACCCCATTATGTATCTGTCTAGACACCTCCAGCTCCCCTCCCGTGCATCCTTAAGGCCGGAGCAGGGGTTTTCCCCTCTGAGACCCCACCCAGGAACCCCTTTCCCTAGTACTGGGGCCCAGCAGGCCCTCAGAGCCCAGCTACCTGGCTGAGCCCACACTGTCCCCCCAGTTCTGGGAACGCTGCAAGCTCTTCCTGATGCCAGCCAAGCACCAGCCGGACCACGCTTTCCTGCGACACGTGCCGCTGCGCCGGATCCACCTCTTCACCCTGGTGCAGATCCTCTGCCTGGCCGTACTCTGGATCCTCAAGTCCACGGTGGCTGCCATCATCTTCCCGGTCATGGTAAAGTGGGTGCGGGCTTCACCCTCCTGCCCAGCAGGTTGGCCTGGGCAAGAGGTGCAGTTCAACCTCCCCTCCGACCACCTCCTGCCTTCCCGTCAGCTGTGGCCTGGCTCCCTCGGGTCACAGAGGCTGGCACAGAATGACCCAATTAGAATTGTGAGTCCAGGTCAGATGGTGTGGGGTGGGGCAGAGAGGAGGCGGAGGAAGGAATGTCAGGGCCGCTCAGCAAGAATGCAAGAGTCACCCAACCTCCTGGCTCCAGGGAGGGACAGAGAAAGCAAATCAGTTCAACCAGGAGTTCCCACTGCCAAAATTCCAGCCAGTCTCAGAAGTCGATACATGCTAAATATAGATCTTTCCATCACTCAAGGTAGCTAAATTTGAAAAGCTAAATAGTGAAGAAGGGGGTAGGGGAAGAACTAGGGTCAGAGATCAAGAACGTCAAAACCCAGTGACAATATATATAAAGCCTGAGCTTGGGAAAGGTTACAGTTCTTTCGCTATTCTTGCAAATATTATATAAGTTTGAAATTATTCCAAAATAAGAAGTAAAAAGAACACGAAGCCAAAAACACGTTGCATTTGCCCTCTAAACTCACCGAGGCCACTGGCCCAGGCCCTTGCTAGGCACCTGGAGTGTGTCAGCGAATGTCTGGGGAAAGCCTGAGGGCTCTGGGGTAGGGGCCAAAGTAAGTACACTGAGGGGAACTTGGAGTGCGCACTCCTGGGAGGGTCTAGTCAACGGTCTCAACCCTGACTGCCCATGAAAATCAACCCAGACCACTCAAATCAGAATCTCTGGGACATCCAGACTTTGGTATTTTTATGGTCTACAGGTAAGCATAAACGTGTAGCCAGGGTTGAAAACCCCCACTGCAGGGAAAGGGAGATAGATCCTCCCCCTAGTGCCCTCATGGGCCTCAGAGCTGGTGAAGGGAAAGACAGTAGCAGTCTTGATTAGCCTTTACTGAGTGCTGTTCCATTGAGTCCATACCAGTCCCCGAAGCACTAGTAACCCCGCTTTACAGATGAGAAAGTGAGGCTCAGAGAGCATGAGTGAGTAAATCTGGACACACAACCAGACAGGGCAGAGTAAAACCCACATCCCCCACCTATTGATTTTTTTGTTGTTGAATTTGCATATGGTAAAATTCAGTGTGTGATTCTATGAGTTTTGGCAAATGAACAGAGTGGTAGTTTCACCATTAGTCACAATACAGAACAGCTCCAAAAGTTCCCTCTTGCTGCCCCTATACAGACAGCCTCTCTTGCCACCCTTCCCGCTAGCAACCACCAAGTTGTTTTCAGAGCCAGGATTCTTAAAACCCAGGTCTGTCTGACCCCCTCAGGCTGTACTTGCTCCCAAGTAGTGTCAGGGAGGAACCAGTATCGAATCCAGATGAATGTTCTTAGTGGGGAAAGAACAAAAAATTTGAATCCTCCCCAAAGAGCACTGCTTGTCCTTTAATTTCTTCATCCTGAACAGAACCAATTTGCTAAGCTTTCCCTTTAAAAATCCAGTTATTACAGTATACTTTATCCAACTTCTGTTAACAAAGAGGGCAGCAACTCTCAGAATTGGAGGCAGAAGGACAGTGGGTCTCGAAGTGTGACCTCTGGACCAGCAGCATCAACATCACTGAGAAACTGGTTAGAGACATAAATTCTAGGGCCTTACCTGACCTGCTAAATCAGAAACTGGGGGGATCCAGCAATTTGTGTATTAACAAGCCCTCCAGGTCCTGGTGCATGCTGAAGTTTGAGAACCAGTAATTTATTGTTTATTATTATTTTTTGAGACAGAGTCTTGCTCTGTTGCACAGGCTGGAGTGTAGTAGCATGATCTCGGCTCATTGCAACCTCCACCCCCCAGGTTCTAGCGCTTCTTCTGCCTCAGTCTCCTGAGTAGCTGGGACCACAGGCATGCGCCACCACACCTGGCTAATTTTTGTATTTTTAGTACAGACAGCGTTTCCCCATGTTGGCCAGGCTGGTCTCGAACTCCTGACCTCAGGGATTTGCCTGCCTTGGCCTCCCAAAATGCTGGGATTACAGGTGTGAGCCACCATGCCCAGCTGAGAACCACTAATTTAAAGAGTAACTGTAGTTCTCCAGCCCATGGCCTCCTCTGAGGCTCCCCACTTCAGCTGTCACAGGCCCTGTCCCTCTTGGTCACTGGCAGGCACAGTCACTCACCTGAGGAGAGGCCAGACGAGAGAAACCACAGTGGAGGGAAGGTGAATAATGGCTTATGGGAGCTTCGAGATGGCTCCAAAGACACCACAGAAAGTCCCTGAACTCAGCCGACTGAGGGAGAAAAAAATCTATCCCTGAGTTTGGGCATTGAGGCCACAGGTTTCTCCAAACTCTCAAAAAACTTTAGTCTCTCTCGCATCTCCTGCCACAGATCCTGGGCCTCATCATTGTTCGAAGGCTTCTGGATTTCATCTTTTCCCAGCACGACCTGGCCTGGATTGACAATATCCTCCCAGAGAAGGAAAAAAAGGAGACAGACAAGAAGAGGAAGAGAAAGAAAGGAGCCCACGAGGACTGTGATGAGGAGGTGGGAAAGAAGTGAGGCCGGGGCACAGAGGAGAAATCGCACGACCTTCCCTCCACTTTTGCCAGGGCTAGGGAGAGGGTGGCTTCTTGGGTGGCCTCCAGCATGCCTAGGCCCAGTCCAGGATGGGCTGGGCATTTGCTTGTCTTGGTCCGGGGTGCTGAGGGCTCTTCTGTTTATGTGAATATCCTCGAAGTGGGCCAGAGTGAATGAGACTCCTTGTCCAGGGAAAAGGTGACCAGCCATGCTCACTCTTCCCCTCACTATGGGCTTTAAGGCCATGATCACAGCAAGCGGGTTACTGCGGGAAGGGCCGGGAGGCAGCTCCAACATGGAAGGAGGTTATGAAGACTGACCTCCAAAGAGTGGAGCAGGCCTGGGGAGAGGCATCTAATGGGGACTTATAAGTAGACTGGAGTCCAGACAGGCAGGAGGGGCTGGGAACAAGCTTTGCTTTGCCATTCCCTAGGGTAATGGGGACAAAGATGGGGAAAGAGGCAGGTATCCTCACCAAATAGAGAGTGGCTACATTTCCCAGATGCCTAGAATAATATGGTTGCCCCATCTGCCCCCTCTTCTCCCATGCTCCCTTCCCATTTCTTTATATATATACATACATATAAAATTTATTGCATTTTAGGTTCTGGGGTACATGTAAAGAACATGCAGGATTGTTGCATAGGTACATACATGGCAATGGGGTTTGCTGCCTCCATCCCCATCACCTATATCTGGCATTTCTCCCCATGTTATTCCTCCCCAACTCCCTACCCCCCGCTGTCCCTTCCTTAGTCCCCCCCCACAGACCTCAGTGTGAGATGCTCCCCTCCCTGTGTCCATGTGTTCTCATTGTTCAACACCTGCCTATGAGTGAGAACATGCGGTGTTTGATTTTCTGTTCTTGTGTCAGTTTGGTGAGAATGATGGTTTCCAGGTTCATCCGTGTCCCTACAAAAGACATGAACTCATCTTTTTTTATGGCTGCATAATATTCCATGGTGTATATATGCCACATTTTCCCTGTCCTGTCTATCATCGATGGGCATTTGGGTTGGTCCCAAGTCTTTGCTATTGTAAACAGTGCTGCAGTGAACATACGTGTGCATGTGTCTTATAATAGAACGATTTATAATCCTTTGGATATATGCCCAGTAATGGGATTGCTGGTCAAATGGAATTTCTATTTCTGGGTCCCTGAGGAATCGCCATACTGTCTTCCACAATGGTTGAACTAATTTACACTCCCACTAACAGTGTAAAATTGTTCCTATTTCTCCACATCCTCTCCAGCATCTGTTGTCTCCAGATTTTTTAATGATCGCCTTTCTAACTGGTGTGAGATGGTATCTCAATGTTGTTTTGATTTGCACTTCTCTAATGACCAGTGATGATGAGCCTCATATATGCCTTCTTTAGAGAAGTATCTGTTTATATCCTTTGCCCACTTTGGGTTTGTTTGTTTTTTTCTTGTAAATCTGTTTTAGTTCTTTGTAGATTTTGGATATAAGTCCTTTGTCAGATGGGCAGCTTGCAAAAATTTTTTCCCATTCTGTTGGTTGCCAGTTCACTCTAATGATTGTTTCTTTTGCTGTGCAGAAGCTCTTAGGTCTCATTAGGTCTCATTTGTCTATTTTGGCTTTTGTTGCCAATGCTTTTGGTGTTTTAGTCATGAAGTCCTTGCCTATGCCTGTGTCCTGAATGGTTTTGCCTCGGTTTTCTTCTCGGGTTTTTATGGTGTTAAGTCTTATGTTTAAGTCTTTAATCCATCTGGAGTAAATTTTAATGTAAGATGTCAGGAAGGGGTCCAGTTTCTGCTTTCTGCACATGGCTAGCCAGTTTTCCCAACACCATTTATTAAACAGGGAATCCTTTCCCCATTGCTTTTGCTTAGAATTGACTTGGCTATGCAGGCTCTCTTTTGGCTCCATATGAAGTTTAAGGTGGTTTTTTCCAATTCTGTGAAGAAGGTTGTTGGTAGCTTGATGGGGATAGCATTGAATCTATAAATTACTTTGGGCAGTATGGCCATTTTCATGATATTGATTCTTCCTAACCACGAGCATGGAATGTTTCTCCATCTGTTTGTGTCCTCTCTTTTTTAGTTGAGCAGTGGTTTGTAGTTCTTCTTGAAGAGGTTCTTTACATTCTTTGTTAGTTGTATTCCTAGGTATTTTGTTCTCTTTGTAGCAATTGTGAATGGCAGTCCATTCTTGATTTGGCTCTCTTTAAGTCTGTTATTGGTGTATAGGAATGCTTGTGATTTTTGCACATTGATTTTGTATCCTGAGACTTTGCTGAAGTTGCTTATCAGTTTAAGGAGATTTTGGGCTGAGACGATGGGGTCTTCTAGATACACAATCATGTCATCTGCAAATAGAGACAATTTGACCTCCTCCTTTCCTAACTGAATACCCTTTATTTCTTTTTCTTGCCTGATTGCTCTGACTAGAACTTCCAATACTGTATTGAATAGGAGTGGTGAGAGAGGGCATCCTTGTCTAGTGCTGGATTTCAAAGGGAATGCTTCCAGTTTTTGCCCATTCAGTATGATATTGGCTGTGGGTTTGTCGTAAATAGCTTTTATTTTGAAACACATTCCGTCAATACCTAGTTTATTGAGAGTTTTTGGCATAAAGCGCTGTTGAATTTTGTCGAAGGCCTTCTCTGCATCTATTGAGATAATCATGTGATTTTTGTCTTTGGTCTATTTATGTGGTGAATTAAGTTTATAGACTTGTGTAAGCTACTGCAAATCAGTCCCTTCCCATTTCATCCCCAAAACACTCAGGGAGTCAACAGACAAGGGACCAGTCTGGAAATTATAGTGAATCACAAAACATGAGGCAGAAAGATTCTTAATATTCACGTATTCATTACATATGATGAAACTGTCCCTGCAAAAGGAAGTGGCTTACCCAAAATGGACATAGAGCTAAATTTCTAAGAGGGAATTAAGAAAATAATTCCTGACTTTGCTGATTTCTAATATGCTAAGCTGCCTGTGCCATCTCCTTATGCTGTGCCTGGCTCCCAATCTCCCAATTTGACCCAAACTCATGTCCCTGCATCCACCCTGTCCTGTTCTCATGATTTTGCCTCGTGCAGCTGAAACCTGTTCAAGGCAAATCCCTTCTGATTGGGCTGGTGGTGATTAAACCATCTTCTCATCAGTCAGAACTCCCCTGGTCCTTAATTAATGTGCTCTTCCAGGAAGAGTCCCATAATGCATGTGTTTTGTAGGATTTGTAAATGTGGGTTCTGAAAACAAAGAAACAGAGACTAAGTGCCTTTTAAAGGCAAATACTTCTTTCATTAATTCTTTCAATAAATATTTGAGTGGCTACCACATGCCAAGAACTATTACAGGGATGGGAAAAAGAAGCTCTGAATTATATATCAATGGAAAAACAGGATTTGATTTATACAAATTCATTTTACCTGTCTTTATAGCAACACAGTTATTGTGTGAAATTCATTCCCAAGTGACTGGTTGCTGTGACAGATAAAACTGTTTTGATGATAACATTCCTGGAAGAGCTCCACTCTGTCCAATGGCATGTGTGGGACACCGGGCTGTCAGTGGGCCCATTCCCTGTCAGTGGGCCCCAGAGTGTTTGCAGCAGTCGCTGTTTAGTCTAGAGGTGAAGAGAATGGTGGTTTGCACTGCCTATGGATGCATTTTCCATCTTGGCAAGAAAGCCAAGTTGTTGGCTGGGCACGGTGGTGCACATCTGTAATCCCAGCACTTTGGGAGGCTAAGGCAGGTGGATCACAAGGTCAGGAGTCCAAGGCCAGCCTGGCCAGCATGGTGAAAACTCATTTCTACTAAAAATAAAAAAAATTAGCCAGGCATGGTTGTGGGCACCTGTAATCCCAGCTACTCGGGAGGCTGAGTCAGAAGAATCACTTGAACCCAGGAGGTGGAGGTTGCAGTGAGCTGAGATCGCGCCACTGCACTCCAGCCTGGGCAATAGAGACTCTGGCTCAAAAAAAAAAAAAAAAAAATAAGAAAGAAAGCCAAGTTGTTGTGTTAGTGGTGTTTATCCTCTTTTCCCACTGTTTTTCTCCAGCCCCAGTTCCCTCCTCCCTCAGTTATAAAGATTCCCATGGAAAGTGTCCAATCAGATCCCCAAAATGGTATCCACTGCATTGCCAGTAAGTAAAACACATGATATCTCTCCCTTCCTCCTTATTACTAATCCTCTATGTCTTTCCCTGAGGAACTTTCATCTGTAACTCAGGAAGATTTAATCATTTTGGATGCTAGAGCAGCAGTCCCCAACTTTTTTGGCATAAAGGACAAATTTCGTGGAAGATTAACTTTTCCACAGACCAGTAGGGAAGTGGGGAATGGCCTTGGAATGAGACTGTTCTACCTCAGATTCTCTTAAGGAGTATGCAACCTAGATCCCACTCATGCCCAGTTCACAATAGGGTCCTCACCTTTATGAGAATCTATTGCCGCCATTGGTACCACTGAAGGTGGAGCACAGGGGTTAATGCTAATTTGCCCATGCTCACCTTCTACTGTGCAACCGGGTTCTGATACTGTTCTGTGACCTGGGGGTTGGGGACCCCTGTGCAACAAGACCCCTGTCTTAGGCAGAGACCAGAGAACTGGGCCACCAGGACTGGTACTCTAACCAGATGGAAGCCCCAGAGCAAAGCCTGCAGACTTGAATGACTAATCCTCACTTTAGTTGAAGAAAAATCCCTCATTCCCTTCTTTCCCCAGATCCCTGTGGCACTGCCTGGCCCTCCTCTGTTTTAAGACCACATCAGTCTAAACATGGCCCACTAGGCCTCGCATGTTTTCCAGTGGCTGTTGAAATGGTTGAGAGCTCAGAACCGAGCTTTCCCCTTTAGAGAAATAGGTATCATAGTACTTAAGTTATAAGTCAGGCAACACTGGAGGTCCCCGTGTTGGTTCCGCTGTGCCTCTGGGTCAATCCTCAGCACCTTCTGTCCACTGAGAGGAAGGCTGCCTGGGAGGGATTGGGCATTGCTTACAGAAATTCTGGGAGTTTCTATTACTGCCTTTAAGCCCTCCCAGCTTCAGCTCCCTATAGGTGGCCAGTCCTGTCATCCAAGCAACATAGCCTGTCATGAGTCTTCCAAAAGATCCCTACCTGAGTCCCAACCCCAGTGCTTCTAATAGAGGGCTTGCCACTCTCAAAGACAGATTAGGGGTGGGTAGCCAGGGTGAGCTTCCCATGGGCACTATCCATCATAGGTAGCTCAAGATCTTGAGTTTCTCAGACTCCTCCCCTGCTCACATTCATCCCTCTTCCCTGGCCCTCCCATGCCTCATACCCCCTAACCCCAGCTGAGAGCCCTCTGGGTGAAGGACTAACTAAACCAGAAGCCACACGTCACTGAGGCCCCATATTCCTCTTGCATAATGTTGGCCATAGGGTTAGAGAAGGAAAAGAGAGGAAATGGTGGGGGAAGCCTGGAGAAATATGGTGCTTAAACCTGTTCCACATCTGACATTTTCATTTTCCTGCCAGGAAAAAGATCTTCCAGTTGGAGTTACCCACTCTGATTCTTCCTTCAGTGACACAGAACTTGATCGAAGGTAAACACTGTTAGGTAGACTCCTTGGGTATTAGGTAAGAGACTAGGCAATGGCCAGGAAGTCAGAGGGTCTGGGATTTCCCAGGCTAACTGTCCTCTCAGAAGGTCCTTGCTGGCCCCAACTGGGAGACAAGGGTTGACAGACCTGACTCATCATTCAGAGCCAAAAAGCAAATGTGTCTTCTTACTGACATAACAACATGGTTACAACACAAAGGTGTTCAACTTTAGCAAAGGAAATTCTTATAGAAGATTAGGTAGAACACAAATTGAAAGTACATGTTGACAAAAAGAAAACAGAAAAACTAGGCATGGCTTAAGTGTAGTATCACTGCAAGCCAGGATAAATGAATGCAAAGGATCAAAACCTCAGGTACTCCGTAGAGTGAATGAACAGTAGGATTAATTAGCAAAGGTCAGAAAGGTCATGGAGGAAAGCCAACATCCGAGATCAGGTGGAGATGGGGACAGTCTAGAATAAGTTCAAGGCCAGTTGCCAGGAGCCCCCATGCCAACAATGTGATTCTGTTCTTCACAAGAAGCCACCCATGAAAAAGGTGAGACACCCTGATGACACACAGTGGGCTCAAACACAGAAAAGAGGAATTCAGAAGCAAGAAAGCCTTTACTTCATTTTCACTTGGGAAGATGGCAGGGGCAGTCCCACTCCTACCTAGTGCCCCAGAATGGACAGGAATCAAAAAGTAACTAGAGCACAGGTTATTCCGAGTCTAGAAGCAGATCACTCCAGACACAGAAAGCACTCATCCAAGAGTTTTTTGGGGGGAAACTGGGGGCAGGGGATATTCTGATTTGTAAGACAAAGCTGCTATCCCAATGCCAGGGTGAGACGACAGACTTTCCCTAGTTCAACCCTCCCTAAGCAGCAGTAGCAAGGATATTCTAGCCCAGAGGTGTCACCTGTCCAGTTACATTTCCGCCTTCCTTCTCATCCCATCTCAGGCTCCTATACCTGTAATGCCATTGATCTTTATACAGTGGTATACATGGGTGTTAGGAGAAAAAGCAGTCTATCTTATTTTCATTTATAAAATAATCTACATGAAATTAACTAACTGCTCCCAATTTCAGGCAGTAGAGAGAAAATTTGTACCAGGTTAGGGGTTTCCAAATTACACAAGGCCCTAAGACAAGGTCAGAAATGAAGACAGTTTGGTAACTGGAGATGGCATCTCCCGACCTCATTGATGTTTTACTGAATTTATGAAAATAGATGGGGGCAAAAACCACTAAACAGCAAGATTCTATTTCAGTGAAAGACTCTGCAAATTGATCTGGTTTAACAAACACTAAGCATCAGTGATCTACCAGGTGCAGTCCCCTGGAGATGTGGAAAGAAAGGCATGCAAACCAAGACAGAGCACCCTGTGCAAGAATAAGAGAGCAGACGAGGACAGCAGTCTAAGGAAGGCACTAGCCTCATCTCAAGAATCTATGAAAGAAACCAGAATCTGCCAGCCATAAAGCGGGACAGAGTAGAGAAAAGGCAAGCATTTTGGCTAGAGAACACAGGCCCGAAGTACCATTTGAAAACACACACACACGCACACACACGCCAAAGAGCAAAGAATACTGCGATGGATAGGGCAAACTAAGCAGGCCCGACTACAAACACAAAAGGCTGTGTTTGTGTTTGTGAGAAGACAGATACTCCTGTCTTCTCACGCCAAGGAGCTTAGATTCTTCTTTGAACAATCAGGAACCACCAAATTTGTGACTTAGAAAGTTCACCTTGGCAGCAATGTGAAGATAGGTTTACAGAGCGAGACCAGGTGGATGACTGTGGCTGAAGGCCAAGCCAATAGGAAACTGCTTGGTCTGGCATGTGCTGAGTTCAGAAGTGAGGACAGAACTATTTGCATTAGAGCCCTGCTCTGGGGGATGGGTTCAAAACACCAAGAACTACATAATCCTCTTTCCTACTTCTTGTTCAGCATCACCTTGCACTTCAAAATCTCCTGTCCAGCTTCACCTGCTTTCAACTACTCACGGAACCCAGTGTTCATGGTGCCACAGGTGAAGATAGAGATGGAGTCAGACTATGACTTCACAGACGTGGACAAATACCGAAGAGAAACTGACAGTGAGACCACTCTCTAGGATGAAGCAGCTTCAACAAGACTGGAGATGGAGGGCCTGGTTTAGTCTTAATTGGGAGGGTCTTAACTTATCTGTGCCTGTTTCCTTCTTTATCAAACAGAGGGAGTCCTGCCTCATAGAGAACTGGAGATCTGTTGATCAAAGTACTGCTTAGATGCAAAGCTCTCCCTTCCTTTTATAGTAATGAAAATACCTAAAGCTAAATATTATATTTTATTTTAAAATGCAGTCCAGCATAGAAATTCTAACACTAAGATAAAGGGGTAATAGTCAATTCATAATTTAAAGCAAATATCAATTTAAAATTGTTTAAAGGTTAGATTTAAATGTAGATGTTCTTGAACTCGTAATATAGTCTAATGTTACTAGACCATCTTCGGAATATTTGGCGATTTTGCATATTAAGAAATGCTGAAAAGATCCTATCTTTTCTGTCACATCCAGTTTCCTAAGCGTTGTATGAAAAGTTTGAACCGGCTGGGGGCGGTATCTCACGCCTGTAATCCTAGCACTTTGGGAAGCCAAGGTGGGTGGATCACAAGGTCAAGAGATCAAGACCATCCTGACCAATATGGTAAAACCCCCTCTACTAAAATACAAAAAATTAGCTGGCAGTGGCAGCGTGTGCCTGTAGTCCCAGCTACTCAGGAGGCTGATGCAGGAGAATCACTTGAGCCTGGGAGGCAGAAATTGCAGTGAGCCAAGATCACGCTACTGCACTCCAGCCTGGGCAACAGAGTGAGACTCCATCTCCAAAAAACAAAGTTTGAACAATCTGCATTATGGGCCTTGCTCCAGAAGTGTGACTGGGGCTTTCCCAGATTGAAAAGCCAGTTCCAAAACTCTGTTAATGACAGAATCAATGCATTTGAGTGGATAAATATTTCTAAAATAAAATAGTTCTTGTTAAAGTGAAATTTGAAACCACACGTTAAATCAACAAAATGATCATTTAAATTAGTATCACTGGTTTTCCATACCTGGAATCACATTTCTTTATACATTTGGGTAGGTTCTTCCTGCAAATTTTCAATGTTTATTCCCAAAGTCAAACTCTCATTCAGACAAATACAGGTTAGACAGAGGTAATGGCACATTTTACCTTAATAACTTTGCAATATTAATCAACCTAGTACTTTAAAGGAATGATTGGAAACTATTTGGGAAGATTAAAACCAGTTTCAATGAAGCAAAACTATTCCTCATGAAACTTGAGATCAGTCATTTTACCTTAAATCCACATTAATGAACACCAACCATGTTTGTTTAATGCCTATGATGTGCCTGACAGCCACAGTGCATCTGACTTACTTTCTCCCAAACAACTGATTAGGACCTTCAGTAAATCACTTTGGTTAGAGTTGTATTTGCTGAAGATGACAAATGCAGGTGCTTTTTTAAAGAAAAATGACACTAGATCATTAACACCTTGAATATCAGGACAGGTAATTGCCTCTGTAATCCCGAGTCTAATATAGTGCCTGGTCCGTAGAAAACTCTCAATAAGTGTTTGATTAATCTCAGAGCTCCCTTTCAAGGGATACTGCCAAGAGGTAAAGCTCTAAACCTCTACCATTCCTACTGATAGCAAAATTTCTTAGCTAATCTAGAACTATCCCCTATGCTTAAGTATAAATTCTTGCCAGGCACAGTGAGTGGCTCACACCTGTAATCCCACTACTTGGGAGTCTGAGGTGGGGGAATCAGTAGAGGTCAGTCAGGTCAAGACAAGCCTGGGCAACATAGTGAGACCCATCTCTAAACAAATGTTTAAAAATTAGCCAGGCATGCTGGCACAAGCCTGTAATCCAGCCATTTGGGAGGCTGAGGCAGAAGGATCATTTAAGCCCAGGAGTTCAAGGCTACAGTGAGCTATGATCATGCCACTGTACTCCAGCCAGGGAGACAGCTGGAGCCCATGTCTTATAAACAATAATAATTTTTTTAAAACTTGTCATCCGCACAAATCTTGGGGGAGCTAACAATCCACCCTTCACATTTCAGTTTTAAAACCTGGCTGATTTGGAATGGGACTTTGTCCAAATTAAATTGTAGAAATGCTATGGATTCAAGAGTAAACCTGCTTGATTAATCAAACAAGCTGGAAAACTATTGTTAATTTCTTTGTTGTAAATTGATCACTGTAACTTTACCTTACATGTCATTTGTATTTTGTATATACATGAACATTTTAACTTCCATAGCTTTTTAACAGGTTGACATAATACTTCTCATGCAGTAAGTCAATAATTTTCCCACTTGTAACTGTAATTCAATAAAATTCAATCCTGTCTGGTCATGTTGCTCCATGTTTAACAATCTAGGTAAGTAAGCAGGCATAGCTTATAGACATGAGCTATACTTCACTTACAGAAACATCATCTCCAGCAAACTATCTAAACTTCTTTCAATTCCAGAGAACTGTCAAAAGAGTAACACCAGCTGGCAGAAGAACAAGAAAGGTAAGTCAACTCAACTCTTCTTTCTTTCTGCTTCAAGCTGCCTAGAGCAGGAGCTACTTCTGCTTGCATGAAAGCCAAAGGCCAAAATGGTCAAGGAACCTATCCCCACCTCAAGTATTTCACAGATTAAGCTCCTAGCTTGGCACAACCTGTTAGGATATAAGACTGAAGGACTGGCCAGGTGTGATGGCTCACATCTATAATCCTAGCACTTTGGGAGGCCAAGGCAGGTGGATCACTTGAGGTCAGGAGTTCGAGACCAGCCTGGCCAATGTAATGAAACCCCATCTCTACTAAAAACACAAAAATTAGCTGGGCATGGTGGCATGCACCTGTAATCCCAGCTACTTGGAAGGCTGAGGCACAAGAATTGCTTGAACCTGAGAGGCAGAGATTGCAGTGAGCTGAGATCCACTGCATTCCAGTCTGGGCAACAGAGGGAGACTCAGTCTCAAAAAAAAAAAAAAAAAAAAAAAAAGAGGACTGGAGGACTAGGCTGGGCGTGGGCTCATGCCTGTAATCCCAGTCCTCTGGAAGGCTGAGGCAGGAGAATTGATTGCTTGAGGCCAGGAGTTTAATATCAGCCCAGACAATATAGCAAGAACTCATCTCTACATAAAAAAGAAAAAAATATATCTATTTAAGGCTATAGAAGTAAGTGTTACTGAATATAGCAATATCTACATTGATTACATTAGAGAAAAAAAAACTCTGGTTAGGTTGCAACTAGGAGTCATAGGAAGACAGAATTTCAGAAATTGATACCACACCAGACAGATGTATTTTATTAAAAAAGAGAAAATCTTTAATCAAAAAGTCTGATTAAATTCAGTATTAACTGAAATTCTTAAAAATTTTCTGGAAAAGTCAACAGGGTGGATCACAGAAAAGCAGGCAGCTGCTGACAGTTCTTTGGTGGAAAAGTAAGTTGCAAACTTACCTAAGCTGCCCAAATGATTATCAAGCCAAGTTTGTTTTTCAAAAATAGATTTTAAAATATAGCAAAGAAACTATACAATTCAAAAATTTAACAATGAAGTTAAAGTATATAGCAAAAAACAAATATGACAATACACATGAATAATGTATAAAAGAAGCCTTTCAATCCTAGAAAACTAAAATTGGGAGAACTTACTGAAGGGTAACAAACATAAAATGAGGACTAACAGCAAGAAACAATCCTAAACATTTTCCCAATGACTGACTAAGCCTTAAAAAGACAGCTTAGGAAAACAACATGTAGTTTTTTTTTCCTAGCAAATTCAGTTCTAGTTAGATAAATCTGGTTACCAATCAATACATATATAAATTAATTTCTTTCTACTCAATTACTACCATTTTTTTCTTTTGCACCTTTCCCCTAATTTCCTCTAGCAACACTTTTCCTTTGGTTTGATCAGCTGAACTCAAAAGGTTTGGTACCTAAAATGAGTATCAACTCTTATTGGAATAGCACTTGGGAAATGCAATCCTAGAAAAGGCAAATGTTTAACTGAGGGCTTGACAAAGTTAAGCGTCCATTCTTCATATGACAGTGTCTCCCATGTTCATCACTAGGTTAATGGCTGCACTTGGCTAGATCACATGACCCTGCAGAATACTGGAATGCTCCCTGGCGAGGTACTACAGGTGCGTGCACAAACATCCACCCATTTAAGCTTTTAATAAATACAAAGCATCCTTTTAAACAATTTCAGTAGAATAAATTAAAAATATTGCATTTCTATTGGCCTGCTTTGCTTCTTGAGCTGGCTTGGAGTGTTGTTCATGACACAGAAGACACAATAGTTAATTACTGGCTACTCCAAGCTCTTTAAGCTTCAGCACTTCCCGCTCTTCAAGCCTCAGCACCTTTTTTGCGGCAATAATGGTATTCTTCATTAGCATTGCCACTGTCATGGGGCCAACACCTCCAGGAACTGGAGTGATATAACCGGCTTTCTGTCTGACTCCTACATAGAAACAAGACAGGTAGGCTACTTCAATGATGGCAAAGGACATGTGTGTACTTTTATTACAAAAGAAGCATGCAAGGAAAAAGTAACATACATAAGTATAAAACTCAAAAAATCACATCTACATCATTCAAGGTTTTGTAAAAACACTAGTAAAATAACATGCACATAAAGAATTGTTCAAGGAATATTTATACATCTAAGTAACCTATAAAGAAATCTCTTAAAGAAACATACCTTGCTTATACCCATTACTGGAGACAGTAAAAAAAAAAAAAAGAAACATACCTACTAGGTTAACTGTGTGGGAGCTGTTAGTATAATAATAATACTCATTACCTCAAGACCTGCCTACAGCCTTTTCTTAATCTTAAGTTTAATTTGTCCAAAGCATCAAGCATAGTAATTTTAATTGAGAAGTTAAAAAAAAAAAAAACTAAAAAAAAGAAAAATTAAAGTGAAAATCCTTAAATAGCTAGGCATGGGTTTGACTGCTTTAATAAAAACAGAAGCTAGGAATAGGATTATTCATGCCCATAATCCCAGCACTTTGGGAGTCTGAGGTGGAGGGTGGGTGGGGAAGATTACTTGAGGCCAGGAGTTTGAAGCCAGCCTGGGCAGCATGGTAAAACCCCATCTCTACAAAAAATACAAAAATTAGCCAAGTGAGGTGGCATGTGCCTATAGTCCCAGCTACTCAGTAGGAGGCAGAAGCAGGAGAACTGCTTTGGCCCAGGAGGCAGGGGTTGCAGTGAGCTGAGATCACGCTACTCTACTCCAGCCTGGGCAACAGAGACCGCCCTGGCTCAAAAAAAAAAAAAAAGAAAAAGAAAAAGAAAGAAAGAGAGAGAGAGAAAGAAAAAGGATTATCAGCATAAAACTCAGATAAACATTCTATCTTAAGAACTGAAAGGAGAGGCTGAGGCAGGCGTATCACTTGAGGCCAGGAGTTTGAGACCAACCTGATCAACAAAGCCAAACTCATCTCTACTAAAAATACAAAAAATTAGCCAGGCGTGGTGGCACATGCCTATAATCCCAGCTACTCAGGTGGCTAAGGCAGGAGAATCACTTGAACCTAGAAGGCAGAGGCTGCAGTGAGCAGAGATTATGCCACGCCATTGCACTACAACCTGGGCAACAGAGTGAGACTCTGCCTCTGAAAAAGAACTGAGAAGAGAAATCTATTCCAATTATTTCAAGGATATGGCTTTTTCCGGGGCCATTTTAACTTTCTAGGTCTGTGATCTCTCAGTATGAAAATGAGAAATCTCTAACACTTTTTGGGAAACTGCATGGTTTAGAAAAATCATTTCATCAAATTTTCAAACTTGTTAAAAGTCAAGAAATTGTTTGAATTATGAAATAAGTCTAAGAAAAACAATTCCCTGAAAAGTTTATAACTGCTCTACATTATTGTGATAAAACACCTAAAATAATTTTAGAGTGGCTACAATTTTTAAAAGGTTTCTCTAATTCTTATGAAAAGCATACTAAGGGCAGGCACAGTGGCTCACGCCTGTAATCTCAGCACTTTGGGAGGCCAAGACAGGCTGATTACTTGAGGCCAGGAGTTCCAGACCACCCTGGCCAACATGGTAAAACCCTGTCTCTACTAAAAATACAAAAAATTAGCTGGGCGTGGTGGCACACGCCTGTAATCCTGGCTACTGGGGAGGCTTGAGGCACAAGAATCGCTTGAAGCTGTAAGGTAGAGGTTGCAGTGAGCCAAGATGGTGCCACTGCACTCCAGTCTGGGTGACAAAAGGAGATTGTCTCAAAAAAAATAATAAAATAAAAAGAAAAGCATACTGGCTGGGTGCAGTGGTTCACGCCTGTAATCCCAGCACTTTGGGAGGACAAGGCAGGTAGAACACCTGAGGTCAGGAATTCAAGACCAGCCTGACCAATATCTATGAAAAAGACAAAAATTGGCAGTGCATCCTGGGTCAGCGTAGCCATGGCGTCTCGTGTCCTTTCCTCCTGTGTCCACCGCCTGCCTGTGGCCTTCGCGCCGCTGCCCCGGGTCTCCATGCTGGTCGCTGCCCAGCCTTTCAGCACTGCTCTGTGCTCCACGGGGACCCGGACGAGGCCCGGGCCTTCGCAGCCAGCTGCAGTGCTCATGCAGGTCCCAGGTAGAGTTACACAGTTGTGCCGCCAGTATTGCGAAGCGCCCTCTTTGACATTAAGAGGACATCCAGGACCATGTTCTTTACATATTGAAACTCTATAACAAGATTGAGCCAGAGAAGCTTTGCATAAATTCTCATTTTATGAAAGACCTGGGCTTAGACCGTTTGGACCAAGTGGAGATTATCATGGCCATGGAAGACGAATTTGGGTTTGAAATTCCTGATTTAGATGCGGAAAAGTTAATATGTCCACAAGAAATTGTAGATTACATTGTAGATAAGAAGGATGTATATGAATAAAGTATCAGACCCTTTAGCTTTGTTGAGAGAGGACACAGATGATACTGATGAATGTCTGGCAGTGAGGACACAGTTCGGCATTATTGCTGGCTCT